AGAAAGACACAAGCAGAGTAATATCGTTATGGTGTGAAATATATCCTTATCTTCGTGAACAGATAAAGCTTAACGCATGGTGTTTAAACCTTGCTAATACCTTCCATTTGATTATATTACGTATTGACTGATTATCAATACTAAGAAAAAACATCTCATGTGGATCTTGAAGCGGTTTTATAAAATATGAATGTAAGGATTTGCCAGGATAATAAACGTAGTGAATGCAAGTAACTGGGAAACTAACAGCACACGCACACAAACACAGGGGCACTTGTGGCGACTCGAGGCATTAGAGGAGCGAGCTGAGCATGTTTGACCTTTGACTGCCTCAAATCCCTGATGTCAATTTAACTAATAGTTTCAGAGGGTGGCGCAGGAGCAAAAGTGGCTATCGACGAGGTCGATCGATGCCACCTGCTAACGACACCACCGCTCCAATTAGCGTAACCTCTAGCCGAGTCCGACCGCCAAACACACACACGCACACGCTAAAGGGAAATGCCCTAGGAAACACAGAGCACAACTGAAGGAGGGGGATAAAAGTGGCCGCTGCGGATCAATACGTGTTCCTGCTCTGTCTGATACCCCTCGTTTTGATCGGGAGAGCGGAACAGATATGACGGTCAGAAGTGAGAGATATGTGGAGCTGCTGCTAGAGGTTGTTTTTGGCGCTCCGAGGAGGGGATCTGAAGGCAGGCCCTGCTAAGGAGGATGACTAACGTGCGCAGTTACCGTTACACTCGTTCAAGTTATTCATTCCAGGAAAACTAACACCGGTCAGTGCTAAACTACAAACACAGACACACACACGCGCTCTTTTCATCTGTCTCTACCCCCCCCCCACCACCCTCTCTCCAACTCACACACACATAAACACACACACACACACACACACTGACTTCTAACATAAACTTCTCATTTCTCAGAAGCCGTGGAGCCTTTAAGCCATCCGAAGTTATAAGCCCGCTCCAACTTTCAGGCCACAAGACACTAGTTCCTTTACTGAAAATCAACTCCTTTTTTTGTTGATCAAAACAAGACTGTTCTAATTCTCAGGAAGGAGGGGGGGGATTAAAATCTGGCAACATTAAAAGTGAAAAAAAAACAAAACCTCCTAGTGGGTACACTGCTGCACTGCTCAGGACGCTGGTGTGGACAGAAGGGTGGTGGTGGTAGTGGGGGGGGGGGGGGGGCACATAAATCTCAGCATACTGATTATTTTGAGGGGAGAATATCACATAACAGCATCGTCAAGTAAGAGCACAAAGGTCGCTGTGTAATCTTAGCCACCCCGGGCATGCAAAATCATTAATCCCCGGGTACTGTGATTCTCCAGCTCGGATATAAACTGCAGGCCTTCAGCGAGGCGGCTCCGGCACCGAGTTGGGAGGACGTTCGGCCAAAGTACGACGAGACCGTGTTATGATGTGGCGGTGATTTACTAGCAGGGCGGCAACACATGCAAAAGTGTAAAAACTTCAACTTGAACGTCCACATTTTTTTATTAAACGCTCCCTGGGATTACTTCGGAGTGCTGATACATCAAATGGTTAGAACAGGCCCGAGCTGTGTCATTAATATGAAAATAAATAAATCTCTCGCAACAGTCGAAACATTTCCACCCTCACATCCCAGCCGAAAAAAAAGAGAAAAAGTTAAAGAGGATGCACTGCTAGCTCGACGCAAACAGAAAACCTCTGTAATTGAAGGAATGAGAGAACAGAGGGAAAGGTTGCGGTGCGCTGCCGCTGGTCTGGCCGGCCTTATTACAAGGTTAGAAGAGTGGTGGGGGCGAGGGCGGGGGCTTACTGAGGTCATTAACTGGCATTGTCTCCTGACGTGATTAGTCAGGTAGCAAAGTCCATTTGTCACCTGCAGAGGCAAATTGAGTTGGTGCTGCACTAGGGGCTATGGGGACTGTATAATATCAACTTGATTACATCAAGGCAGCTGCGGACTTGACACCTTACTGAATTTGTCAGCATTAATCGTTAGGGCCTGTCACAAATCCATCAGCTCCACAGATAATTAGGGCCCTCTCTAATGAAGCCAACGGGAAGCAACCTAACCCCACCCCCCCACCCGCACACACACACACACACACACACACACACACACACACACACACACACGTCTTTTCTTATAATTAACCATCGTGCTCCACAGAAATAAGAGCGACTATCTTATCTGCTCTTCCTCCTCGTCTTCCTCCTGTAAGGCTATCTGAGCCTGCCTCGGATGAAAGACGACGTCACTCCGTTCTGTCTTTTTTATTGTCGCTGCCTTCCTTCCTGCCCCCCCACTCTTAAATCGAGTCGTTTAATGATGAGGTGAGGCTACAAGTGTAATAACACACACAGGAACATGCATCTGTGCACAATAAAAATGCACAGAGGAAAGAGAGAAATGTACATGTACTTTAAACTCACTCTCTGGTTTCTTTCCATCTCAGCTCCACTACTCGGATTTCTGAACATAGATTCTTAAATAAAAACTATTGTGTATTTTTATGAAGTGTAATGACAGCTACATATGTTTTGTAAAAAAAAAAAAAAATCCTTGTGTCTTGGCCATTTTCTGTGGATCTTAACACCACATACACACACACAAGCTTCACAATAGTACTTGAGGAAATTGTGTTTGAAAATGTTTGTTTGAGAAATTAAATTATGTGTCAAAATCAGAATCAGAAACACTTGCCCTAAAAAAATACCCTCTAAATTTGTAAATTTAGAGGAGAATAAGGAAAACAATAATCTAGTTGTTGCTTCAAGACCATGCAAGACATTTAATTATAAGCTGCCTGCATTATAGGAAAATAAAATGTGTACAACTGATGGTAAAAAAAAACCCACAATTATGCCTTTCACCATTTCTGATGCTGTGGAATATTTAATGCCAGATTTGGCCGTGAAAACACTAAAATAGACATTACATAATAAACAATATTCTCCAAAATAGGTACGGGGTGACAGAGAGAGAGAGAGAGAGAGAGAGAGAGAGAGAGAGAGAGAGAGAGAGAGAGAGAGAAAAGAAAAGACAAGTCTGCTAGTGTTTTAATTGTCTGAGCTTTGATTTCCATGCTCAGTCCCACCATGAACAATTTTCCTCTCTGAAGCCACAGGTCAGTACCAGCTCCCAGTGGAGCATCGGGCTAGCCTAGCGTGTGTGTGTGTTCGTTATTTGTTGCTACTGGGAGCGTGGGGTGGAGGGTGTTATCTCTGACCGACTGTCATGTTCATGGGAGAATGGAAAACATCCCGTCTGCCAAGCTGTGATTGACCATTACAACCCATGATGCGCATGGCACTCAGTGGACAGTCTAATGGATCAATGGTGTGTGTGTGTGTGTGTGTGTGTGTGTGTGTGTGGTGAGTAAAGGGAGGGGTCACAGCGATGTCATGTTTTCATGCCTCCATCTACATGCAGAAACCTAACAAGAGTCGCTTTGCTGCCACCATGGCCGACCATTTACAGTGGGCTATTTCGCCAAAACGACAAACGAAACTCACTCACACACACACACACACACACACACACACACACACACACACACTCAGAAAGGTAAAGCAAGGCTCGATATCTACATCCTCTTTTTCGCGGTGCAGGCCCGACATTGTGTGAAAAGTGCTTCACTGGAAAGGCAAGCGAGAAAGAAAGAAGTCGACAGCGAGCACCGGTTGAATGTTCTCCGTCCTATACACTCCCTTCTCATCCTCACCACCTTCACCAGCTCCCTGCTTAAGATGATAAAAAACCTGCTGAGTTCAAAGTCTTCGTCGGCTGGCCCTCCTGTTCGACCCGCTTTGCACCTCATATTTCAAAATCTCTTTAAAATTCTGTAACTGTCTTTTGTTCACTCCAGTTGTTAATGCCCAACTTCAAAGGCTCGGCCTCATTAGCACAGAGGTAGAAACCCCTGTCACTCATTTACATTTGTTTAAAGGCTGCAGGGAGACGAGGGGAGAAAAGGGGGAGTCCAAATCCAAACCACTAGAAGTCAACCTTGTCGGTCCTCTGCCAAGACCCGGTTTTATCAGTTGGTCACATTGCAAACATTATATACTCCCCTCCAGCAGTGGATATTGATTTCATCACTGAGCTGATTCTTACAGCGAGTGTGGGGTGAATTTGGAATGGGAACGTGCAAAGAAAACCTCAGCATTTATCTCCATTAAGGAAAGGGCATACGCAAACACCTGATTCTAATTTTTTTTCAAAAAGAGTGTTTGGGTAGATTTTTCCTGTGATCTATTCAACATACACACCGTCCTTTTTCATCTGCGTTTAGCACCGTCCTTAAAAAAATAAAACGAGGTGATTTTCCACCATAATGTGCAACTTTTTGAATGCTTTTTTTAGTTTCTGGCTGAGACAACAGGAGGGGTTGTGTGTATGAGTGGCTAAACCTACCAGAGGCATGCTTGTCTTCGTGGAAGGATTTATTGATGTTTATCAGGGATGAATAGATCAAAGACTGCCACGTGACAGGCGATCAATCACGCATCAAATCAAGGATGGCAATCCTCTAATAAAACAGAAAGAAAGAGGGGAGAAAAAAAAACGGCTCTCACCAGTTGTCTCCCCCTTCTTTCCCAGTCAATTATTCATCATTACTCACTCTTCAACCTCAAAAGCTCCCTTTTATCCCCATAACATGCCATTTAGTTTATCTCACCATTCTTAAGAGAACTTTCCTGGCAAAGGAGGATGAATAAGAGAAAAAAAAAAAACCCAAAGTGGCATTGCGCAGATTTATGCGTCCCCTTTTTTCCGCTAAATTAAGACACATTTTAAACACAACTGTGGGTCATGCGTTGAGTCGCGCGCTGTGTTAATAACACAACAAATATAATTCAAAACAGTGAAATAAATCTCAGCATGCAGCGCAACCAAACAATGCGGTGTGGAAGGAGACATTTTCATTTGGCACTTGTGAATAAAAACGAGTTGGCTACCGTGGTGGGAAATGGTCGTTATGAAGGGGCGGGTTATACCTGCTGATCGCCGCGGCTCTTGCTGCTTTCTCCTCGGCATAGTGACCGTCGCTCTCCACGGTGCTTCTCATGCAGGGATTACAAACAAATCGAGTCTGTCAGTTTTGAAAAATCATCCCGTTCTCTTTTTTTTCGTGGGGGGGGGAATAAGGGTTTTGATCTCGGAGCTGGAAAATGTCTTCTTTTCAAAGTGCCTGCTCTCTTTTGGACTTAACAGCTTGTTCGGCTTCGAGAATGAGCAGAAAAATTACGAAGGGATTCGGCCAGCTCCTGACACCTTCATGGCCATCAAAGATCATCTTCCGTCATGTCTCTCGTGGCACGGGTTTACAAAAAAAAAAAAAAAAAAAAAAAAAAAATCGGCAGCGAGAAGGCACCTTCAAACCCAAGTTTTCAGTTCACTCCCCCTGGAAAAAAAAATCTCGCTAATCTCCAGTGCTGTTTGGAGGGGGACGATACTTTGCTGCGCCTTTAACGCACACCAAAACTAAAAAATAAATAAACTCTGGCGGTAACAAAACAAATACGTCCCGTGTGAGCGCAGCGCACAGCTCTGACAAGTAATGTATCCTTGTGTTTCCTTCTCTTCTCTCGCCAGAGACCTGAAAGAGAGAAAGGGGGGAGAGAGAGGGGAGGGGGGGGAATAGACAAACAGGCATTAGATGGGTTAATGTCAGTCCCGTCACCACCACGCCACCTCAGCCCGGATCCAGCCTCACCAGTCCGGCGGAGACTTTTTCCTCCCTCCCCTCTTTCTCTCCCATTGAAATAACAATTGTAAATGAGACGACCCGCATGTATGTATTACTTACGTTTCAGGAGTCGTGGAAATAATTTCCACCGCTCATCTCATCGCATCTTAGACAGAATTATTATTATTTTTGGAGGGGTGGCTGATGCGGTGGAGAAGGATATCACTTGAGAGAGAGAGAGAGAGAGAGAGAGAGAGAGGGGAAACAAACAAGACGCAGGCGCATCCAAGCTTCGCCAACAGCAGATCAGATCGACATGGACTAAAATATTTGTCTCTTAAAAGAGCAAAAAAGAGGAGAGTGGTAGGGTGGTGGTGGTGGTGGGGGGAACTCCAGTCAGTGATCCGAGGTCTCCCGAAAAGAAATAAGAAAAAAATGGAAACGCGGTGGATCCAGAAGCTGTTTCAGACAGTCTCAACTGATAGACAGACGCATCGAGTGGCTTTTCCTGCTACATTTTTACTCCTCCCCTCTCCACGAGCGTCACCCCTGACAGAGGAGCCTACCTGTCAATCTTTTTAATTGTGTTGTTTTCCCCCTCTCTCTCCCTCTCTCTCCTTCTCCCTTTGCTTTAAAAAAAAAGAAAGAAACCTCCGACAAAAGAACGGATCCTTCCGGAACTTATCAGGTAGGGGGGGGGACTAAAACCAAACTTATAGGAACACGCATCGCGAACCACAACAAGTTCTCCACTAGTATATGAAATTAAATGTCATATTTTATGGCAATGACACTAGTTCGTCTCCCACTGGGGGGTTCAATGCTCCCATATGTTGTGGTAGCCTAATAGTAACATGCTTTGAATGGACTATTTTTCCCCCAAAATGACAGATGTCAATAGGTGGCAACGCGTCTGCGTGAAACGTACAGACAAGGGGATGCAAACACCCTCTCGCAGGTCGCTGGTACGGGCTTTGGTTACAGGTGTACATGAGGACACACACATGTTCCGGCAGCAGCCCCCCCCCTCAAATAAAAAAAAAAAAAAAAAAAAAAAAAAAAAGCGCAGCTGCGCAGCACCTCGTGTGATTATGTTTAGTAAAGCCTATTCGTGGATGTTTTGGGGAGATTCGGCGGGGTCGGTCTCGGTTTCGTGGGAGGAAATAAGCGGTTAAGGGGGACACGTTCGGAGGCGAGGATTGATTTGTTTCACCTTACTAGGAAGCGAGCGCCGTGTCCGGGAAGGGGAGGGACTCCCGACAACAAGTCTGCGGCGCCGCTGCTGCGCTACCTAACAAGGCTGCGCCAGCACAACGTTTTCTATCCTAAATACTGCGTGATGTTGTTGTTTAGTTTGTTTTTGCTGAAGAACCAGAGAGCGATGCCACAAAGCGCAGCGGCTTCTCTTTTTGTTTGAAAGCGCGTCTTTTAGCACGGCTCAGCCCGGCCTGCACGCGGTGCATGTGCAGCGAGGGGGGTGGGGGGGGGGCTAATGGTAGCCGGGCTTTATCGCTGCCAAGAACGTAGCCGACGTCAAGTTCGTCCGTGAACTTTGTACCATTGCGAAGCCATGTCCAGCCTGCTGCTGGTGAGAAACATCCGGAGGGCAATATCGGTGCTCGGTGGCGGAAGCGGAGGCACCGACACACTTTCTGGAGTTCGGCCGGTCGCGCGGCGCTTCGTCATAGACATGTCTTACTCGGCACACTTCATGGATTTCAAGGGATCCTCCATACCGAGCAGCATGAAAAAGCTGGTCGTGAACAAGCTCAGTCCTAATTTTAGGGAGGCCGTTTCCGTGCAAACCGTCGCGGTTCCGACCCCCGGGGACGCGGACTTGCTCGTCAGAAATCGGTAAGTTGTTGTTTATGAAAGGTGGGCAGAGAACCGACACGAAGTGTTTCTCCCTCTGTCTCGCCCCCCGCGCGCTCTGGATAGCAGTAGGTGACCCGGAACGTGTCACGGGTCCGTTAGTGGATCAGTAACGTGACGTCGATCTATCACAGTAGGCTGATGTCGAGAAGTTGTACAAAGAGGCTCCGCTTACCTTGATTCACCCATGTCCAGCACCTGCGATCACCATCATCATCATCATCATCATCACGAGATGGCAAAATACGTGAGGAATAAGCGCTGTACTGTATTTCCAAGTTCCGCCCCTCTCTGCATTTGTCTATCAATCCATCTCGGCATCTCTCTCTCTCTCTCTCTCTCTCCCCCCCTCTCTCTCTCAGTCCTCCTGTCTCACTACGTCACCAAACAGCAAACAGAAACTCATTTGGGGGGGGGGGGGGGGGTCAGACTGGCATCAAGAGATGGAGATGATGGAGCAGGAGATGCAGTGTTACATGGCGCGGGTATTGCACCATAATTTCTCTGATTAGCAGCAGATCCCAGCGTTGTATTCACGGTTCGGGAAGAGTGCACCCCCCCCCCCCCCCCCCCTGAAGTCCGTTCGCCTGATATAGACTCAGGGATTATTACTGTAGGAATAGTGTTGAACTACACTTGCTTGTGTCAGGTGGGAAATACATACATTACTTCTCTTTTTCTGAAGAGCAACATTTCAGTTTTTTGTTTTTTTATTTTCTAATTCCAGCCGGATGTAATATCTTCCCCTAATTTTGATTTACCACTACATTACCGACTGTTTGTATGCCTAACCTGATGTTAGATTTTGTATTGGTCTCATACAAATGCCCCTCAGGGTTTATTGTGGTATTTTACTGCCAATGAAATAAATACATAATTAGTGTCTTACTGCCTTGCAAGACAGAGATCGGTTGTGTGTGAACTAAGGCCTTTGACCATTGTTGTCTGTAATACTGAGGCGCCGCCGTCGTGGGAACGGTGGAGATGATTTAACTAACGGAGAATAAATATTTCTGTTTGTGGACTTGTGCAAATGGAGAACCACTTATCCCGTATTGCGCAGCATCAGTGCAGGCTTGAGAAATGTTACATACGAAAGTGTTGAATGACGAATTTCAGAGTGAGAAATTGATCATTGAAACAATCTTGGCTGCAGCGAAAGAGGCGGATTAAATCACCAGTAAGAAATGAAACTTTACCGATTACATCATTGAACCGCGTCCCTAGATTACTGAGGAGGAGTAAAACTTTAAATGCACACAGATGCACGGGCTGCACAGGAAAGACACGAGGCCTTATCAGATTGCATGGGGAGCTATTTATGACGTTCGGACTGGAGTCCACAATAACACATCGTCTTCTAATTATTTTTCATATGAAAACAAATCATTTCCAGAAACTTCATTGTCAGTTTTGCTATAAATCTAGAATAGAGGCCATGAAGCCTAAACATTTCATTTAGTGTGTATCAATAACATCATTTTGTGTACTTTATATCATTTTATCGCCATTACTACATTCAAAGGTTTTTCAGAGGTTTATGTGTGAACACACTTTATTCCCGCAAATCTCATTTTATTTGAATTTGTTTAAACTCAAGTGTATTTTAAATTAGACCCGTGTACGTTGAACGAGTTGTACCTTTTTGATGGAAAACATTTCCCTGAAAGGAAACAGATTCTAAAGATAAAAAGTAGTCAAATCGAGGTTTCTTGTGTCACTGTGGCCCATCTATAAACCACAGACGCATTATCTGCGAGCTCAAAGTACACATGTGACATGCACAGTAATGAGGCACAGCATGCGCCGCTCTAAAAGACAGTAAATGATTTATTTATACATTCCTTTCTCACATATTTGTTTCCAACATGTTTCCAAAGTAAGATGAAAACGGCCGTCTCCGTGTTGAGGCAAGACTATCTAAGATTTTTAAAAAGTGCAGTTTGTTGTGGGTGTCTCTGAAGACGATGAATCATGACATCATGCAATGTGTTTTGTGATACAAGCCTTTCCCCGTCAGCGCCGGGCCGCTCTTCCAGAGAAAAGGGAGTCATTGCCAAAACAAAGCAGAGTGTTCGTGCCCTGTGCAGAAATGTCGAGAGAAGGAAGCTGAAGTCTTGACCTTCAGACAGAATTTTGGAAAATAGCGCACTAATGACCACCTAACTTTCATTCTCTTGAATCCACAATTATTGTTGTTTTTGTTTGTTTTTACATTGCAGTTTTGCAGGAGTCAACGCCTCCGATATTAATTACGCGGCAGGCCGCTACGACCCCTCGGTGAAGCCCCCCTTCGACGTCGGCTTCGAGGGCATCGGTGAGGTCGTCGGCCTTGGCCTCAGCGCCAGCTCCCGCTACACCGTGGGCGACGCCGTGGCCTACTTTGGCAGCGGCGCGTTCGCCGAGTACACGGTGGTGCCGGCCAAGGAAAGCATGCCCGTCCCCGCGGTGAGGCCGGAGTTCCTCACCCTGCTGGTCAGCGGCGCCACGGCCTACATTGCCCTGAAGCGCCTGGGCGACCTGGCCAAAGGGGAGACGGTCCTGGTCACGGCGGCAGCAGGAGGAACGGGACAGTTTGCCGTGCAGTTCGCTAAACAGGCCGGTTGTCACGTGATCGGGACCTGTTCGTCCGACGAGAAAGCCGGCTTCCTGAAATCCATCGGCTGCGACAGGCCGATCAACTACACCACGGAGGACCTGGCCAAGACGCTGAGGAAGGAGTACCCACAAGGCGTAAACGTGGTGTACGAGTCCGTCGGAGGCAGCGTCTTAGAAGTCGCCGTGAACAGTTTGGCCAATAAGGGCCGGCTGATCGTCATCGGCTTCATTTCCGGGTACCAGACGGCATCGGGGATCCCGGATTTCAGAGGGGCAACACTGCCGGTGAAGCTGCTGCAGAAGTCGGCCAGCATTCGGGGCTTCATGCTGCCTCACTTTATCAGTGACTACAGGGAGGCTCTGGGTAGCATGATGCAGATGTTTGCCAAGGGGAAGCTAGTGTGTGAGGTGGATCATGGGGATTTGGCACAGGAGGGGAGGTTCGTAGGCCTGGAGTCAGTCTTCCGGGCTGTCGACCACATGTATGCTGGGAAAAACCTGGGCAAGGTGGTGGTGGAAGTGTTCCCGCCCCCTCTTAGCAATAAGCTCTGATTTAACTAATGATGATGATCAAATGATTGAAAACGGGAAAATCTAGGGCTTTCATTTTTGAATAGATTAATTTCTTTATTTTTGTACAATGATTGCTATAACCCTCAATTAATCTAATGCTTTCACAAATAAACATAATGAGCAACTTTTATTTTCTGCTATTTTGGTTTTGGAAACTATAAGCAATAGGAAGGTGTTGTTATTATTTAGGGGAGCTTTCAGCAGTTTGTTCCAAGACTTAAATTAGTCTAAAACAAATCAGAAAATGTACTAATGACAATGCATTAATGATCATACTGCACAAATATTCTGATTTTAAAAAAAAAAAAAAAAAAAAAAAATCAGACACGGCACACTATCCCGGAAAATATTTTTTACAGTGTTTCTTAAATTGTGTGTTCACCGTCTGGTACAAGTCCACCTCCAAAATTAATTTAGACCAGCTGCCATAATGGGCTTGCTTTTAGCGCTCTCAGGCACTTTATCTACCATAAATGTTTTATGATAGACTTCATTGTTTTTCTAATAGGGGCTTACATTGGTGTGTGCTTGTCAAGAGTGAGTGCTCCAGGTGTGCTTGCTATTTCATCGCCTGTTTGTGGCTGACAGAAACAGCATTCACACAATCAATCTTTTCATTCACATGTCCCGAAGCTGCACATAATAAAAAAAAAAAAAGTTCAGCTAACCAGGAGTTGCACTAGAAAATGCCATTAGGTTTCCACACCGCAAGTAAAGAAAAATCACTTGTAGTGAATGCATTGTGGAATGCCCTTTGACATTTATTTTTTTTCATTTCCATTTATTTTTTGTATTTAATTTAGTTTTAGATAGAAGAAACAAAGCAGCACAACATATGTTTGGAAGTTTAGTCACATGATGGATCATTTCTACATAAAACCCAAAGATTTTCACCATGTAACAAAATACTTAATGGGGGAGGGGGGGTGTTAACTTCAACAGTAAAGGCCTCAATAGGTGAAAGGTTTCCAAGATTTCTTAAAAAGGCAGGATCAGGAAAGAGCTGCGTTGTATGAATGCGCTGAACGTAGCCTAAAACAAACACCTGTTCCTACCTGGCAGCGAGGGCTGCAGTGTTCATGCACTGTGAACATGTTATTTCCTCATCCAAGTGGCCACTCGAAATATAACCCAGTGTGAAATGCGTTACAGGTGTGACCCCAGCATGCAAAGCTGCTACCTTCAACAGACGGCGCAGGAAATCAGAAACGCACCAAGCCAAGGCCGGTGTGCAGCCACAGTGTAGGAAGTCCACGAAGACAGCGGTCACGTTCAGATGTAGTCTCAGTGATTACTGATGTTTAAGTCAAAAGATGTTTCACATACACACACAGGGTTTTATATTAGGGGTTGTTATCCAAATAGAAAAAGTCGTGAGATGTATTAACTACCCACTATGAAGAGTAACAATCACTTTTTAGATTATAACTTAAACATAAAAATGATCCATTTATAAAAGTACCTCAGGACATTCATTCTTCTCATTTTTCAATATATTTAAATCAATTTTCCTTTCACATGTCTCAAAAGCTACAATATCAAAAAGTGGACTCACTTCAATAAGAGGTCTGGTACATTTTAGCACATAACCATGACCTTTAGCCCGACGCACGATATTCAAAAATTCATGCCTGCAGATGACTTTGAGTTGGAGTGACTTGCTGTGAATTTAACGAATATCACAATTAAAGAAGAAATGAAGCCAACGCAGAGTTTGTCTCACTGGCAGCACAAACGCTAATCGTTAAATCATCGCAGTCACCTCTGTCACACCGCTGTTTAGTCAGGCGTTAAGCAAAAGCGAGCTCGCGTACGGAAGGGCGAGGGGCGGTGATGATGCACGAGGATGTTTAGATGATAGTTGGCGCGCTCGAAGCGCCATGTGCATCCGTGTTGTGCGGCGAAGAGGAGGCCAGGTTTAGCATCTCTTCAATTAACGGGAGAGGCCTCGTCTCGGCGTCCTCCAGGGCCTACCTGTACCTCCGCTGATTAGTGAGCAGTCACAGCCCCAATTAGAGAACACAGGAACCTGGAGAGACAAACACTCTTTATTTAATTGGATTGTGTTGAAGTCGGAGGCTGCTAACTGGCAACGTATTGAAGCGACTGCGGAGCGTAAACAAGACATTAAAGACGGAGGAGGTCTTCTGGAGAAGCAGTCGCAGACTTCAGTGTGATGGTGAAACTTTATGAACATTTATTTAATTTGAGGAATTATGCTAAGTGTCTCTCATTTTAGTCAAGGGTTACTGTAGTATTTCTCAGAGTGGGAGTAACGGAGGGTACACTAAATGAACCCTTTTTTAACTGATGTAAATGTAAAGGATTAGGAAGAGAAAGAATTGCGGATGAGCCTTTTCTCCTTTTTTTGTGATTACAGTTTTTATTGCTTTGTGAATGGCTGTTATATATATAGTCAATGCAACTGTATGATTAGTGACAGTTGTGTGACATTTGCTCATATTGCTTAAAGTGAGACTGTAACTTTTTGAAAGGAGACTATACATTCATCCTCACACAAATGAAAAGAATGAAATCATACCCGTGTCCATGTCGACACACTTGCGTATGCTGGCGAATGTTAGCAAGCTAAAGATGTGTGTTGTTGTCTAAGTGACTTTGCTTAGTGAGTCTGACTTCATGACTCTTCTATATTTGTGCCACGGTTACACTATGTTTTAGCATTTACAATTATGCCGTAATTGTCACTTGCAGACGCTGCTCAGCAACGGGTTACAAAGTCTTGCTTTAAAATGAAAATCTTTTCTTTCTTTCTTTCAGACTATATATTGCTGTTTTTTTAAAAGCACAAAAACAACACAATCACGGCTCTTGAAATCACAACTTTCCGTAGCTTCCGATCCATTTCACTATTCAGTCCAGAGCACGGAGCTGGATTTTATTGTTGCACGTTGACATTCAAGGGATGTGAAACTCTCAAAGGTCTCTCTGTCTCTTTTCGCTAAAACCCTCTCTTTCCACAGTTTTCCCATTGCCGGGACATGTGGCACATAACAAAGACATCACCCTCGTATTGCGGGACGGTAGTCTACCTCCAGGCGCCTAAGGGACACTGGCTGGCTGCCTGGTGCTGCCAGGATCCAGACAGTCCAGTTTCTTTCCGTGCAAGTCAGTCAGACCCCCTCAACTCCCCAACTCCCCGAGCCCCCGTCACTCCTACCTCCGCCTAATTACCAAACCTAAAACTCCACTCGACTAATTAGCCACAGCAGACCCAGGAACTGTGAGTAAAGGTAAAGAGATGGCTTCATTCAGGAGCTTGTGTGTGTGTGTGTGTGTGTGTGTTAAAGACAGAGACAAGAAGAAAGGGAAATGGAATATTCAAACCTCCTTTAGCGAACACATCTCTACAGCCAATTAAAGTCATTTATTAAACTCTTTGCGAAACCGGAGTTGTGCATGACAGAATGATAGGGGAATGTGTTTGTTTGTGGCTGTGCATGTGTCGTTGTGCGTGGGGGTTGTGCGCGCACACACACACACACACACACGTCCACATGTGTCTCAGTGAGGCTGGCTATCTGTCGGCTCTTCTGTCTATCAGCGGCGCGAGAGCTCAGTGGGACATAAATTACAATATGCAGCTGAGCCACTTGTGTAAGTCTCAATGAAGGGGAGGAATAACTTTCTTAATCAAGTTCCCCTGATTAATTGTAATCAAGGTGTCATCCGTAAATGTGTCCTCCTGATTGAGTAATTCGGGGCCGGAGACAGTAAGCACATCCCCGGTGATTGGGGGGGGGGGCGGTGTGTGGAGGACATACTGAGACACAAATAGCTCCTGGGCACACTGGCAGCCTTCGCACAACTGACAGTTATGAAATACAATTATCAGTGTGATCTGCTTAAGAATTCATCAGCGGCTTCACTGGCCAGTAAAGACATTCCTAGAGAGACGGAGACAGAGGGAGGGAGGGAGGGAGGGAGGGAGACACAAGGGGGAGAGAAGGCCTCACTGATTAAATGGGATTTTTATTTAGTCCAGCAGATTGTTCCCATTATGTTACACTATTGTGAGGAGATTATCTTCTCTGTTGTGTTTCCTCTGCTAGAATCACCTGTGTTGTTCCCCATCATCCACCTAATCTCAGTCCGAACCAGTAGCATTTCAAAAGGTTGATCTTCATGATGTGTCGAAGTGACTCAGTCAGCGCTGAAGCACAGAGATGCATGTTAAAAAACGGGCTGAATGTGGTTGAAGACTGACTTCTAGTTCAGAGGTTCCCGACCCTTTTGACATGCGGCCCTTTAGAAGGAAGCATCGTCTTTTTGTAGTCTGTCGTCACAGGCTGCACATGTCATTGAGATCATCTTCAGAGGCTTGAAGCCATTCAAATGCTCCTCAGTGGGGTCTGGAGTCTGGGATTGCATATTGCAGTTGTTTCAACAGCATTTGCATCAGTATGTGTTAAGAAAAGAGAAAAGAAAATAGTCATTTAGATGCTATTCAAACAATGGTTGTATGTAGCCTAGCCCTGATCTTAACCCGAGACATCTGGACACCTTCAGACCCGCAGAGCACAGACACCGTGCAATAGAAACCATGTTGATCAAACCATTGTAACTGCCAATATTTGACAGATGATAATCTGCAGCTATATGTGGCCAAGTTCAAGGGCAACCCAAATATGCACACCGATTTAAAAGCATGATTTGACAGCATCCTAAAAAAAAAGAAAAATAAACCATATTGAACAGTTTACATTTGCCACTATCAACACAGTATAATAAAAGTTTATTCTAGCTCGCTGCACCGCCTGCAAACGTATTGAATAAAAGATCAAAAGAAGCACTGCCATTTCTATTTGACAGATAAAATCTCACTCAACAGCATTTATCATCTCGTTCTACCTACATTAACCCTTTAGGGCACCTTCTGTAGCCTCTGGAGGGGGAGCGAGGGTCCCTCACTGTGTCTGTTCAGATGTAGATATATATTCAGGTGAAAGGCAAGGGCACTATTCACTACCTCAGGATTAATGACAACATCATCGCCATTGCCATGCTGACCAGCCCCATATTTCCATTGGCTGGATAAAGAGGAGACGGTGGCGGGAGGAGGAGGAGGGGGGGGAAAGGTATGAGCATCCTGTCGGCAGGATGACGGACAGGTCCTCAGTCCAGCTCCCCCCTGTCCTTATTCTTTACTGGCCTGAGCTGGCGAGCGAGGCAGCGTCTCTGCGGCCAAGGACACAGGGGTGTCAGCAATGCG